CTGGAATCAACCCTACTTTTCAAGTAATATTAGATGCAACATTAGTACTTCATAACTAATTTCCTAAATTAGTTTTCATAAATGTTCCTACTGATATTCCTGTAAAGAAAACATAAAACTTTCATTTTTATAGTTTTTCAAGTTTTTTAGGCTTTCAAAATTCTGGAGTGCTAGCAATGGAGAAAAATAATGCATTCCCATTGCTTTAATATTGTTGTAAATATGTCTTACAGCCACAGTAAAACCTCTTCTGGTCTAAGGTGTGCTGAGAAAATTCCAAAAGCCTGTTTAGAATTGATTATGCCTTGGTAACCTCTTCCCCAGTGTTCAATTTACAATACCTCCCTCCAATTCAGCATTGCCCACTCTGCACAAGGGTCTAGATGATCGTTAGGAATGCTACATTTAACAAGTACTTTACCATGGAAAAATAATGTTGGTGGTTCTTTATTTTCATTAGAGGAGGAGGTTTACAAAAGAAAGAGAAAAAGAAAAATAAAGAGGAAAAAAAAAAGGAAGAAAAAGAAAACAAAAAAAAATCATGTAGAATGAGCTCCATAACCAACAAAAATGCTGTGCAGCACAAAGCAGAAGCAATTTCAAAGATATCGGTCTTTTAAGTATCTGTGCAGTCATCTAAGTTTTTAAAATAGATGATTTTTTATGTGGAGGATGACAAGGACTATTGGCCCATGTACATTAAAAGTGTCTTTGCAAATAACAAAACAAGCACAATTTATGAAATGTCATACACCCTTGCCATTTTGAAGCAACAAAGATCTTCGGGAAATTTTGAAGACTTGCTACTTTACAACCCTTGCTGAACAAGGCATGCTTTTTAGGTGAAAAGCCTGCCCCATTCCCTGACACCGATTCTCTGCAATGCTGGGAGAATCCAGCTCTAGGGACTTGAAACCCTGAAACTCTTCCTTAGAGAAGCATTCAGCTCCTGAATTCAAGAGAGCAGAGCAGGCTGCATCTGAGCTGCTACATTCTGTGCCTTGGATGCTCCCCCCATCTCTGCTGGTTGCTCCAGAGGGTTTTAGGAGGTACAGAGCTGCAAATTAATCCCAGTGCCTAGGTCTACCATTAAAAATAGGTCTTGCATCTAGTGGTGCTATGAAGCACAACTTTGTGGGGAGTCTCTTTATTTTGCTCTGTGAATCTGTCTTGTGCTAAAATATATGCCAGCAGAAAATGAGAGTTCCTCACTGGCAGGAACATGGCTGATAATGAAAAGTCAACTCTAAGGAATATTCTTTAAAAAAAAAATTCATCCATAAGTGTATTTCTTCTGTCCCCCTTTAGCAGAAATATGCAATACTTAATAAACCCTCAAAGGCCCAAAACGATCAATGCTTGGAGTGCAACATGAAAATCATTTGAAAATACATACATGTATAAGACAAATTCAAAGCTGAAACTGTTTACTGGTCTCTATAGAAGGCCATGTTTTATCTATCTTTCTGTAGGCACAGGCTTAGCATTTATGCATATATAACTGTGAAAAAAAAGCATGCATATAGATGAGTACTTAGATGTCTGATAGCAATTTACTTACCCAAAGATCCCATTTGCATGTGACAAAATAGATGCATATAGAGTCTGGCTTTCATTTTATGCTGATAGTGAGCCTTTAAGTGACTGCTGCAGAGCATATTTTTACTCCTTGGAAAAAGAAGCAACAATCGCAGCTTCAGCTCCTGCAAGCTTATACAACTTCAGCTGGATTAATACTGTAGAAAGCTATATGATCCTTTTTACATTTAGAAGATTATCAAAAGGAATGGATAGCATTCAAGAATTTATTCATTTTGCCAAAAACCCTGGATCCAGTTACTGAAATGATATTTCCATATTTCCCTAGTGATGAGATTTCATTGCAAATGTCTTCATCCTTAAGACTGATCCAAACGACTTTCTTGGACCCATGGTTGAGTATAGCTCCATAACAATTACTCAGTGTCCCAACTTTTTTACCTCCATAAAACAGTTAAAATGATACGCCAAAGTTTGTCTTCATGGACTGTCTTGATCAGAGCCTTGCATGACCAGTGGATTTGGGCTAATTGAAACATTTGCAAACTGAACACACCATCCTTTGAGCATAGGCTGTTCTTGACACCATTAAACTAATCCAAAGCCCCTGTGTGCTCTCAGGCTTGCTGTACACTAACAAAGACATTTTTGCATTGAGTCTGTCTGACTTTGGCCATGTGAGGTCCGCTTCAGATTTTGTTTCAGTCTTTTTCCCACAATAGATGCAATGGAATTTCACTGTGATGGAGATTGCTGGGCTGAAGATCTCCATCCTCACTCAGGTTTTTGTAAAGAGGAATCCCAAAATGGTTAAGGCAAGAACAATGCTCTCAGGTACAAAAGTACATGTAGCTATTTACTTTTAATCTCAATGGGAAAGAAATTAAAAAAAAAAAAAAACATGAAATGATCAACATCCTTGTCTTTGGTAATTAGCAGGTGTTTTTCTTCCTATGTGTGGGAGGAAGCAGGTAGTGAGTAAGTATGCTCCCGCTTCTTGCTAATGCACAGGAACCTGAAAAAAACAAATTTTCGAAATGGCATAATCTTTACTAAAGCCAAAGTGCAAGTAACAGTCAATCATGTTTTCCTTCTATAAATGCATGGATAGCAGACTGAACTGCTTGCTGATGGGAGGAAACAAGGAAATTCTCATTTTAAAAGGAAGTTCAGGTGGCCGTAGCTTGCTTTCTTTTCCATTTGGATCCGTCTTTGTTTTCTGACACTGAATATTTAATTAGATCAAACTGATTTTATGTCCAAGTAGGGAAACATTTAGTTATTACTTTATTATCTAATAATATAAATAGTAATATCAAGATATTCCTGACTTGATCAGAGCACAGATTTTATGATGAAGTAGATGACAGGTGTGCTGAGACCAACCTTTTTTTGGGAAAAATATCTGTTCCAGTGAATGGCAAGCAAGCACAAAGCTATGCTGGATTCCCTGTGTGTTTGCTGAAGGCCTTGAGAGCCTGGCAGACAGCAAAGGAGTTGCAGAGCTCCCTGCTGCCATGTGATGTGACCAAAGGTCTGACAAAGACTGAACCCCTGGTCCTGGACTCACTGACTCAGCCACAAGAGCCAGATATTTACAGGCTCGCATCTCTCTTCCAGTCCATTGGGAAAGCATGTTAAAAATACGAATTAAGAATTCTTTTAGAATACACAGAACGGTCCCACTGGTTGCAAGCAGGAATCAGAGGATCTACTTACCAATGACATACAGAGAAGTTATCTTTAGAAGTTGTCTTTAAATATTACCCTGCAGATGAGAATTACAATATTTTACAAGCTTTCCCAAATTTTGCTACAATTGAATTTCTCAATTTTTTGACCAATTAAGAGGAAATAGTAAATACCATTGCTCTTTGATGTTCTCTGCATCTCTGCTGACCATACAGCTGTCTGCCTGCATTGTTTTTAAAATATTTTACAGAGTTGGTAATTCCTGCTGCAGTTAGGAGTCTTGACTGTAATCTCCCAATAGCTCTTGTTTGATCCATTCAGTGTTATTTCAAGGCACTGTATGAAGTATTTGGTGCTTCTTTTTTTTCTTTTTTTTTTCTTTTAACTGTGAATGATTTTAATATCAGAAATACTCCAGAAAAAAATCATGAAAAGAAAGAACCATAGAAAACAGTTCTCTTTCTTTACTTGTTCTCTTTTTTTTTTTTTCATGACTAAAGCAGTCCAACAGAAAAATATACATAAAAACGTAGAAAATGAAAGTTGCGATAACCTCATAGGGTAGGAAAAGTTGAAATTTTACCATTTCACTGCTGTCATCTACAAATCTAGGAAGGAAGAGCAGATCATTCAGAGCATCTTTTCACTGATTTCATTTATACACTTTGTATCCATACTACATTTGGCAGGCTTTTCCAAGTAGGTGTTGCCAGACTACAAGAAAAAGAGTAGATGAGGAAAGGACTGGCACAGTAAATAACTGAATTCAGCATTGAACGAATATAACATTACTTAGGACACACAGTAGAGCATTCAATCAGGTCTCTTTTACAAGCAATTGATATTCTCAATAGCCTGTGCATAATGTTGTCGAGAAAGTTAGAAGGATGTTAACATTTCATTACTCTTGCCATTGATTTTTCTCTGCTTTCTTCACAACAAAAATCAAAACATGACCCCTCTTCCACTGAGTTAGTTCCAGAGCACTTGCCATTATTGACCTCCTAATGAAAATTAATGATGGCTCCTTTGATTCAGTCTCTCAAGGCACACCAAACACACTGAAGAAAGACGCACATTTATTTCTCAAATTGAAATGAAATGACACACTGTTAAATACCAAAATGTAAGTTAATGCAACATTGAATTTGCAAATTTAAGCACACAGAATTCAAGAGATTTAAACTGCATCAAGAGCTGATGCTGCAAAGCTGTATACACAGTAACAATTCCAGACTTGGAAAGTCAGTGAGTTTTATAAGTAAAGCTACACCTACACTTAGAACATTTCGGCCTTGGGCTCTAAATGATCTTTATAGCACCAATTTGGCAATACTGATTTTTTTTTCCATGCAACAGGGACAGTTGTACATTCACTTATTTATTTCCATGCTTTTCTTTTTATTTTTGAAGATAGAAAAAAAATTTGAATGCTCAGTGATGTTTTTCTTCTGTGTGCACAAACTGTCACCACACAGCTGAGTGGGTTTCCTCAGTGTAGAGCCTTACACAAATATTTATGCATAGACTGATTTCAGTCTAAGGTAATGGATTGCTTCTCCCTATGTTTTAAAATCTGTGTTTAAAGAAAAAAAGAGGATTAACTGTATGAAATAAAGCAGGAAAAGTAAAAATATCTGGATTCATATCTAGCAATCAGGTGAAAGCTTGTCATTGTATATAAACAATTTGTTATTCCCGGGGAATTATCTAGGGAATGTGGAAGAATGATGAATAGTCTAGTTTACTTTCTTATTCTTTTCCTTTAGACAACAAAGATTATGATGCATATCTATCATATACCAAAGTGGATCCTGACCAGTGGAATCAAGAAACTGGAGAGGAAGAAAGATTTGCTCTTGAGATCCTACCAGATATGCTTGAAAAGCATTACGGATACAAGTTGTTCATACCAGACAGAGACTTGATTCCCACAGGAAGTAAGTCATGTCCTGATGCATGAGTGTTTCTTAAATGGCAACCACAGTGGTTGAGCATGTGGATTTAGTGTCCTTTCTATGCCTTCTCCTTCAGACTGTCATCTGTTTGTCTTAGGGAAGAGTTAGGGTGGGCCCATAGACATGCTTAAGGTGAACTTCCCAGAAGAGATAATTACTTTTTAATCATTGTGCTATTTTAATTGATGGTGAGACAGCAGAGAGAGGGCCTGTGTAAACAGAGGAAATAGGTCACTATTTTTCCACACCTTTGTTGTAGAGTTACACACCTAGGAATCAATATAAAGGTCCTTGCTTTCTGCTTCTGAGTGTGTGTCTGGAAAGGTATCAGTGATTCTAAGTGGAAAAAAAAAAAAAAAAAGAAAGAAAGATTCAAAATGTTGTTATATTTTTTTCCAGACCTTCAAGCAGGAAGGAAGAAGTTCTGTTCAGACTAAGGCAGGAGCTGAGTAATAATACCTGCAGCAGAGCAAGGCAGTGAATTCTGTTAGTGTCCACAGCAGATAAATGTGTAGTGGAGGTACTAGATCATTCTCAGAGCTTGAAAATGAGAATTGATTCTGGATGATAAAAGTGTCTCTTCTTTTCCATGTTTCTTTCATGTAGTACAGCCTATCTTTAGTTAATTTTTTGTAAATTGTTCTAGTAGTCTTCATAACTTCAGAGTAGCCATTTAGCCAGCCACTAAGTTATATATATTTTATTAAAGATAAGAAAGAATGCTTAGTATAGACATAGCACAACACTAAACATATTAGAATGGATATTTTTAAAACTACAGTAGCCTAAATATTGATTTGGAGAAGGCAATGCCTTGTTTTTTTCAGATGTGCATGATAGGGGAAATAAAAGGTTAGGAAGACTCTAACCCTACGGCATACATTAGGGTAGCATTTGCATTAGGGACTGGTGCACCCAGTTGCTGCTCCATTCCCTAGCTTGGGTGCCTTCTCCTTTTTAAAGGGAAATTGGTTACAGACATACTTGTTCCAACAAAGACACGGGTATGGGTACCAAACCACAACTCACGCACAAACACTCATGAGCTGTAACAGCCAAGGGGATTTGAAATTTGCCACCAATGTTTTTACATTGTACAGTGACCTCTCCTGGCACCCTGTCTTGTTCATCTGCAGCCAAGGGGAGTGTAGTATTTCCAGGGATTGATTTTTGAGCAATTGTCTTATTTTGTAGCCTATATTGAAGACGTGGCAAGATGTGTAGACCAAAGCAAGCGACTGATCATTGTCATGACTCCAAATTACGTGGTCAGAAGAGGCTGGAGCATCTTTGAACTGGAGACAAGGCTTCGTAACATGTTGGTCACAGGCGAAATCAAAGTGATACTGATTGAGTGCAGCGAGCTCCGGGGAATTATGAACTACCAGGAGGTCGAGGCCCTGAAACACACCATCAAGCTTCTCACTGTCATCAAATGGCATGGGCCAAAATGCAACAAGTTGAATTCTAAATTCTGGAAACGTTTACAGTACGAAATGCCTTTTAAGAGGATAGAACCCATCACACACGAGCAGGTCTTAGATGTCAGTGAGCAGGGGCCCTTTGGGGAACTGCAGACAGTCTCCGCAATTTCCATGGCTGCTGCCACCTCCACTGCTCTTGCCACTGCCCACCCAGACCTGCGCTCCACCTTTCATAACACATATCACTCGCAGATGCGCCAGAAACACTATTATCGAAGCTACGAGTACGATGTACCTCCTACCGGCACCCTGCCTCTTACCTCAATAGGTAACCAGCATACCTACTGCAACATCCCCATGACACTTATAAACGGGCAGCGGCCACAGACAAAAACTAACAGGGAGCAGAACCCGGACGAGGCCCACACAAATAGTGCGATCCTGCCCCTCTTGCCGCGTGAGACCAGCATATCCAGCGTCATCTGGTGACAGAAAGGCAAGGGGACGCCAAGTCCCTTGAGTAGGAGCAGAGTCTGCAGTCTGGTGCCTGGAACTACATCCTCGACTGCTGCTGTTAAACATGCATTACAATCGAATAACACACGAGGAAAAACAGGGTCTTGTACATATGTTTTTTGCAATTTCTTTGTAGCATCAGTCTTCCTGTTTTACCCATGTCTCTTCCCATTCACATTTTCAGCTTTGTTTTATATGTCATTGGAATTTGTATATTTACATTTTTTTAAATGAAGAGACTGCTGTATAGATAGGAAACCTTTTGGCTCCACTAGTATAGTTTTAGACTTTTGTTTCGTTACGTTTTTAACCTCTCTTGGGAATGCTTGGACAAAGCGATGTCGATGCCAGAAGCACCATCCATCCCATTGGCCCGCCTAGCCTGCCCATGAAGTCCATGCCTGCCACAGCTCACCTGTTTGGAAGAAAACCTGTTGCTAGAAGGACCCCATCCCTCACTGAGTGCTCCAGCCTTGTTTCTCCTCCCATAATGGGCTCCACTCCTTCCCTGCCCTTGCGACAACCCTTCTTGGGGCAGCCCTGCAGCCCAGCCGTCCAACACGTCACTCAGTATACTCATCCAACACCAGAATGCACCCAGTCTGTATCAGTTGCTTCACCATAGTCACTGCAGAGTGTGTAGAAACTAGAGATGGTTTGGGGGGTTTTGTTTCTGGGGTTGTGGGGAGGGAGGTTGTTTTGTTTTAAGAATGAGTTGACTGTATCCGTTTTATAAATATAAAAGCAAACCGGGATTTTCACTGTTCCTGGAAAAGCGTTTAATGTGGTTGCGGGTTTTATTTTTTAGGCTTCTGATGGTTTCTCTTTCCCCCAACAAATTCCTGAAAATTGGATCATTTGCAGTTGTCAGGCAAATAAGGCATTAGGCACTGAAGTGCAGTGAGTCTTGCTGATATTGACGGTGATGACTTCCAAATCAAAGGGGAATGAAAGGACACTGTTATAGGTGGCTTGTCACTTTGTATTATAGAAAGTGTTATTTTCTGAGGAAAAAAAAAAAGAAGTAAGAGCAAAATATTATTTTGCTGTGGCTTACAGAGTCCCCTGTATTTTCATGTTTCACAAACTGTATTTGCTTTAAAATGATATATTCAGGATTAAGAAATCTTCTTTCATTCGGTTTTAGCTTGTGATGATAAGTAAAACTTGATTAATTTCAACATGATTTCAGTAAGAACTCAGGCAGAAAAAAACAATATGAATACCAACAAATATAATTGTTTTAAGAATAAACATTATTTATACAAAATTAATATTTAAATCAGACCTGGAAGTATTAAAAACAATTTATTCACTTTAATGAACAAATAAATTAGTTTTATTTTTAATGTATGATTCCATCTTTAAGGAGTTGCAAATTACGCGTTTACTATGGCTGCCAGGGAAGAAGAAAAAAGGAAGAAAGCAAGCACTGCATTTACTTTTGGATATCTTAAAGACAAGTGAAATAGGCATCTCACTCCTACTTCTGTTTTAAATATGAAAAAGTCCTTTTTGGCTTTAGAAAGAGCAAGGAAATATAACTGATATATTGTAGCTGTAAAATGTAGTCCAGCCATACTCTCAGCTAGTCTCCAGGAGCTGGGGCAGTTCCTAGTTGTGGTGCCCTGTCAGATCATCCTGGGTCTCGTTTGCTCCAGCAGAAATGTAGCTGGAATACTAGAAAAAACAGATCTTGCAGCCTATTTCAGTAAGTAATTGGCTTTTTTTTTTTTTTTTTTTTTTCTGGGAGCTGACTGGTATCACCCAATATAACGGATGTGCGGGATTTGTTCATCCTAATTGTCACAATGGGAAGAGTACAGCTGATAATATTTTGGTCTTATTAGTGAGAAGTGATGGGTAGAGAACGGGCAAACTGCAGCTTCTGCAGTTTGGGGGATGTTTGTGCGAGTAATCCAGAACTGACAGTGTGGGCGGAAATGGCTATGATCCTGTTGTGAAAGTCAAGAAATCTCAATATCTGCATAACAAGTTAATGGAGCTTTGGGATGTGCATTGATTTTTATTTGCTTAAAAATGTTTATTTCTGTGACAACTTGCTTGAGTTCTTTCCTACAATCTGTTCTTTATTGCAGTGTCTCCCTCTGGACATGTGCCAAATGTCCACAAAATGGAAATGAAGCTGCCAGGTCAGATAAAATCTAAAGACAGCTTTGCACATTTGGTTATTTTCATAGTGTAAGAAAACTATTATTTATTTCCTATTACAGACAGCTGTCAGGTACTGATGGCATTTTCCTTCATTCAACTGGATGCCAGATATCCTGGTACCCTCAAAAAGCAATGCATTATTCTTTCCCTTTTCCCTTCCCCTTACATGCCCTGGGGTAGAGACTGGGATGTGGAATAAATGTAGAACGTAATGATCTTACCACAGTCACCCTTAAACCGTTGGTAGGTGTTTCTTTAGCCACATGGGAAGTACTTTTCTGTTGCTCTATTTCTGGTGTAGATTTAAGCACTTTGAATAGCATGATTCAGGGATTGATGGATACTATTTGATATTCACATTACTTAAAAAAAGAGTTTTTTTCTTATAATGTTTTGTCACAATATTAAACAAAAGAAAAACAAACAAAAACGCACACAAAAAACATAACCTGAAATAAAAGGAGAAGCTATCTATGGCTTTAGAAACTTTCCTTGTTAGTATTTCTCCTCTATGAACAGCTCCATGTGGGAAAGAG